ACCCAAGTGGTTCGAACTGTTATGGGGAATAATCGGAGTAAAATATCTGGAAAAATGAGCTCGTTCAACTTACGGTACAAGTAATTCTCCAAGATGTAATAGCATTAAATGTAGTAAGAGGTCAAGCATAGCAAACGAACGAACGTTCTGCGGTCTAGACATAATTTAAATGGTCGAAATCTAATCATGCCGCCATAGCACTCGTCTGCGTGCAAAACTTGGGTTTAGCGAGGGCACACGACTTAAACTAAGTGGGATTAATCGTGGAGTTACCATGCCTGTGTTGTCAAGGCAAATATTAAGGACTTGACTTCGCAGGAAGGTGGGATTTAGCACATCGCAAACAAGAACTGGCCGAAGTTTGAGAGCATGCCAAAAAGGCTAAAGATTCTGAGTCAATTGAAAGATATACCTCATCATGGGCGAAATTCTCCAGGAGCCGACAGCGAGACAAGCGACTAGCTTCGGCGGTAGGTATATCATCCCCATGTTTAGCCAAGTGTAGATCAACGTCGCGTCTGGTAGATCGTCGACGGCGCCATGAATTTAATGATTTTCGAAAGGACGTTGACGTGGCCGAAGAACAAAACGTTGACGAAGTTGGTTCAGGATCCAGGCAATGAATACGCGGCACAAGCGTTTTCCGTTTGATTTTATGTGGTGGTGGGGGTGCATCATCCGTCGGTGGAGTGGAGGTAAATTGGGAATGTGAAGGAATAGTTGCTATCAATGAAGTCTTTAAAAAGCCTGTCAAACGTCGACGGAGGCACCGACTTGGCTGATAGTCGCCGAACATTTTCGAAATGACCGATTCGAAAATTTCGACGACCACGACTCAATGTGCCATGGACAATTACGCAGAGCCAATCAAAAAGGGAGGCAGACACGCACGCACTTGTGCATCCAATCAATTTTCAGCTATCATTTAGCTATAATTTATTGGGGTTTCCTTCATCAACTAGGAGGTAAATTAGATTCACATGCATTGCTATCAACGAACAGCTGTTGGTGCAACAAAGATTCTGCATAATTCTTAGATAAAGGTTCGGTGAGATGAAGAACTCGTGATGCCCCACACAAGCTGACACCGTAATAATGGTCCAAATGGAGACGGTGAAAAGGCGATTACTAAGGTCAGGGGTGAATGCATTCAGCGACTACAAATCAGTTTACAAACGCGCAATACAGGCTAATGTTTGAGGATTAAATGCGTTAATAATGAGAGGCTATTGTGGATACACGAGTCATCATCACAAATGGACGCACGGATAAGTTGATAGAGTTCTCCTTTCTATTAAACTTTCTATGACGAAGATCGCGATCCCTTTAGTGGCAAAAATGTACCGTTGCAATATTTGCTGCCTAAAGTGATCAAGCGTTTAACTAACTTTAAGCTACCAACTGACATTAGAACTGTAAAAAGTGAATGTAACGATGAGTGATAAGGGAATTTCAAGATGTATTAGCAAGATCATTCGGGTCATAAATCCAACGCCAGGTAGAAAGGGGAGAAGAGAGGGGAGGAGGAGTGCGAACAGAGGGTTAACATGACCATAAAATTGCAAGAAGTTATACATTTTTTATGCGACAGGGCTCATTAAACCCATTCCAGAAGAATGCCAAATCGGTCGTGGCTGGTCTACAAAGGCGCACTTAAATTAGTAAAAATGTGGTCAACGTCCTTGTATAGTTATGCAGCATCGGAAAAAGGAGATGTTGCAAATCGCATTAAGAAACGGTAACAACAAGCCAATTAAGTTTATCGGACCCACCTTGTTTGATCGGTAGCAGGGAGGGTGGGTGTCGTTTTCGACGGCGCGGGAAGGCAGCGGAAGGAAGATGGTGAAGTCTCATAGCGGCCTAATAAGTGAGATTTGGTTGAGGCATTTTGTCCGATAGGAGCGTAGTTTTGGGGAGCAGCGGATGCCAGCTCATCCATATAATCTGCTAAGTTTGTGAAGCGTGGCACACCTAAAATAGGAAGATTAATACATTGTAAACTTCGTTTACCGCTGGATCGTCGATCACATTAACAGAGCAGAATGACAAAAAAAACCAACCAGAAGTCAATGGTGAAGGTGGACCAAAAAAGTCACCGCTTTTTTCGGACTGAAGGACAGGAGATGAGATTTTGCGTCGAACAGAAATCTTGGGCAAAAAGGTGGGTTGAGGGGGAGTCACGCAGGGGACGGTGGGAGAGGCGTGAGCAGGGAGGAAACGGAGCCCTCCACTGGGTCCTGGCGCTGTTATCATGCTCTTGTCACGCCTCAACGCTGTCGATGACAGTGACGTGGCGGAGGCGGAAGAGGAAGGATAAGCATCCCGTCGCACCAGTTGTGGAGAAGGTGCCGGTGGCGCTGATAAATCTCG